GCCAAGTGCAGCTAGTCCTCTGCCTGGTTTTGCTACCCTATACCACCAACAGTGTCTGTTTCAGAAAGTTTTTTCCTGTTTTAAGCCTCCTTACTTCTTTTCACAGTACCTACATCTGGCACCAGACAGAGGCCTGCAGGGAAAGGGAGCCTTCCCAAGCCCTGCTTTCTTTCAAAGAGGGGACAAACTACAAACACCCGTCTTGGGTGTCTTCCAGGCATGGCTGCTGAGATTATCTTCCGGGCCAGAGTGGGATAAGAGGGAGGCTGTCTGGGCATGCATCATCCTACCTCGTGCTTATCTCCTTTTAAGGGCATTTATTTTATTTCTCTTCGGACAAACAAATAAGAAGATTTTCTATGGAAAACTGGACACTCAGAGGAACTTCAAGATGGGGGCACATATTCCTGCTTTCTGTGCAGCTTTGCAAGGGGGAAGCAAGGAGAAGGGAAAAGATGGTCTTGGAAAGCTTAACTGAGCATCCTTGAGCAGGTTTGATATCTCAGTTGAATGAACATTGCAGTTTGCCATCATCACTTACACGCACCTCTCTGCAGCTGAAAGTGAGTTCAGAACGATAACCACAGAGACTGTGTGAAGGTTGTTTCACCCCCAGAAGCAGCATTCCGGTGTGGGAATGCTGAATCCAGATGTGAAGACAGACGGCATGAGGCGGCTCAGAGGTTAGATTGTTTATGAGCTTGTGATATTGGACTAAATCATTGAAGAGAGGCATAAAGAAGCAATTCCAATTGTAAGAAAAATGAAATAAATGGTCAGGCTCCCTCAGGTGTTCGGAATCTTGCTGAGCATGACCTAGCCTGTTTAATGTAAATATGTTAACTGTGCATGTGAGCCCAAGTGTTCTTTGGTTATTGTCTGACTCACTCCCAGGTGTTCCTGGGTTATCTGACAAGTATTAAAGACAAATGGCTCTGATCCAGAGTGCCCCTGGGACGCTCCCAGGGGCCCCCAGGGACGTTTGTCCTCCCAGGCCACCAGGCCACAGCTGCTGCTGCTGCTGAGGAGGCTGGGGCTGAGCTGGAGTCTGAATGGAGCATGTCAACCTTGCCATCTTTTCCAGTTACCTAGATAGCAACCTGTACATGAGGGGTCTGTGACCAGCTTGGCATTTGAGGGGTCTGTGACCCAGCCTGGCATGTGAGGGGTCTGTGACCCAGTCTTTGCAATGAGTTTAAAGGGTCTGAGCCCTATCCCGACACCAACATATTGAGTGATCCCATTTGTATGAAATGTCTAGAGTAGGCAAAGCTCTAGAGACAGAAAGTAGATAAGTGGTTGCCTAGGGCTGGGCTGGGGTTGGTGGATGGAGAGAGACTGCTAATGGGTACAAAACTGCTTTTCGAGATGAGGAAAATGTTTTTTTTTTTTTTTTCCTTTTTGTCTTTTTTCCTGACCGGTAACGGGATTGCAACCCTCGGTGTCACGCCCACACCGCGCTCAACCAGTGAGCGGACCGGTCTCTATATGGGAGCGCCACCGCGCTCCCAAGCGCCGCACTCTACAGAGTGTGCCACCGGGCCGGCCCTGGAAAATGTTTGAAATTAGATTATAGTAATGAGTGCACATCTCTGTAAGTCCACTGAATTTTACACTTTAAGGGGTAAAATTTATGGCATGTGGATTTTATCTCAAAAAAAGCTATTAAATAAAAAAAGCCTTTTCTCCCTGAATTAAAGCAATTCCCAGTCTAAATATAGTTAAGGAGGAAAATATTCCCACCAAGAGAAGTAAGATTAAAAAATATAGATGAAGTAAGATTGACTATGAGTTGGTGGTTGTTGAACGTGGGTGATGAGTACTTAGGTGTTCACATTCTATTTTGGTATGTTTGAAATTTTCCATAATAACAAGTTAAGCGAATTAAAAAAAATTAAAACACACACAAACCACCCAAAAGTTTCAGTAAGTGAGAGGACTGAAAATGGATGATGCTAAAAGCTGAAACAAACTCACAGACACCAACTGAAAGGATTAGCACAAGTTTCAGGGACATATGAAAAGCATATGTCTTGCATTGCTGTAACAGAATACCTGAGTCTGGGTAATTCATAAAGAGAAGAGGTTTATTTGACCATGATTATGGTGGCTGGAAAATCCAATAGCATGGAGCCAGCATCTGCTTGACTGTGTCACAACTTGGTGGAGAAGCAGAGAGGTCAGTGGGTGAGTGCAAAGAGGGCCAAACATGGGAGGTGACCTCGCTTTACAACAACCCGCTGTCAGGAATTAATCCATTCCCACGAGGGCCAGAAGTCACTCCCACACAAGAACTGACCCAGTCTCAGCAGAAAGAGATTAATCCTTTTTTTTTTTTTTTTGGTGGCTGGCCAGTAACAGATCAAACCCTGGACCTTGGTGTTATCAACACTGCACTGTAACCAACTTAATTTAATCCATTTTAACAACCCAATCACCTCTTAAAGGCCTGACCTTCCAACCCCGCCATGTTGGGGACCACACCTCAACATGAGTTTTGGTGGAGACAAACCATATTCAATCCATAGTGTGTAGGTCTTGTTCTGGGCATTTAGAACTAGGCCAACTGATGAGAGAAATTTAGAATGTCCATAGCTGATAATTTACATCTTCACCAATATTTCTTTTCCTTTTGCAAGTATTATTTTGTAGATGCAAAAAAAAGGGGGGTGGGGTGAGCAGGAGAATGAAGAGGTAAGAATTATGTCTGTTATCTTTTTTGAGGTGAAATAGAGAATAAAATATTTATTCTGAAAATAACATGGTAAAAAATCTAACGTTATATGAAAGGATACATACAATGAAAAGTGGGTCTCCCTCCTAAGACAGACCACAACAACTTTTATTTCCCAGAGACAATTATCAGCAGCAGCAGTTCTTATGAATGCAGAATATACACGTGTGTGTACACACACATACACACACACTCACCTTTTTTCCTTATATTCAAGTATGTATATACACCTATGTGTGTATACATGTATAACATATATATAGTTATATACATGGGGTATACTATTTTCCACGTTGCTTTTTTCACTTAGTTTATCTTAAAGGGAATCCAATGGTCATTTTTTCAATGTCACTAAGGTATCTTTCTTCCTCCCACAAATTAAATGGTGATTTTCAATGCCAGAGGGAAGTCTCAGCCCTAGATCAAAATAAATCTCTAGGCTAGAGAAAGGACAGTCCTCCCTTTGCGTTACATGAAAGAACAATAGTCTGCAGTATGTCTGAGACCAGGTCGGAGGAAAGGCTAGTGGAAAGAAGAAAAGAAAGAAAGGCAGCAAGGAGTTAGGGAAAGTCAGGTTAAGCGTGAGATTCAGGTGCTCAGAATCTGACTGTCCACAGCCTGTTGCTGTCCTGATAGGTGTGTTTGAACTCAAGGGAATGAGGCATGATCCACTCCCGAACCCATGGGCAGCATTTTTTTTTTTTTTAAAGATGACTGGTAAGGGGATCTTAACCCTTGGCTTGGTGTTGTCAGTACCAGGCTCTCCCAAGTGCGCTAACCGGCCATCCCTATATAGGGATCCAAACCTGTGGCCTTGGTGTCATCAGCACCGCACTCTCCCAATTGAGCCACAGGCCAGCCCTCATGGGCAACATTTCTACTCTTATCACAGGAGTTCCCAAACATAACCTGCACACTGTGTTGGCCCATGGTGAGGTCTGCCCTGGTCCCAAGGAAAATGCCTATGTCCTATAAAACTGCCTCATATATGACTATAGATAAAAAATTCTAATTAAAATATTACCAAGTAGACTCCAGCAGTATGACAAAAATCATCATATATTACAATAAATATTTAAAATTCAAGAAATTAGTAAGTACAAATCAATACAGCAATACATTTAAGAAGAAAAACATATGATTATAGCAACAGATTAATGGCCTTGGACAAAATTTAGCACTCAGTACCAATAGTAGCAAACACTACTGAGGTAAGTGTCCTTCCACTCCCCTACATATTTTGAAAGAAATTTAGCATTAGCAAAGAGAATTTATTCCCAAATTTATACCCAAACGAAGAGTGAACATTACAGTAAATGATTAAATGTTGGGAAATTTTTTATTAAATTTGGATAAAAACATACCTGCTATCACCATAATATTCAACCATGTTCTGAAGATTCTAACTACTGTAATAAGAAAAGTAAATAAAGCAATAAATATAAATATTGAAAAATAAATAAAATTTTATTTGCAGATTACATAATTGATAGCCTATGAGTCTTAAAGTTGTCTTATAAAAATAGAATGAGTGTTCAGACTATATATTCAATGTAGGAGAAAATAATTACATCAATATAGCAAGCAGAGTATCCGGAATGACATTCAAGTCAGTTAGGAAAAAAAAAGAACAAAAATAATACAGACAGATAACAACAGGAAAGAGAAAGTAAAGAAATGATGACTGGCCAGGAAATAGGTTCGAAAAATGCTCAACTGAAAATTTAGGAAAATATATACATATTAAAACATATACCTAAAGTGAAGCTATAGGGACATTCAATTTATCAATTGATAGGAGTCTAAGAAAACAATCTGGTAATATCTAGTAGAGTTGGAAATATAGATGACTTACGATCAATTTAGCAATATCTTACATAATTCAAAGTGTATATAATGTATGTACAATTTATACTTCTATGTGTATATCATTACAGAAATATCAGTTCACGTAAACCAATGGTCGCAGACAAGGATATTCATTAAAGTATATTTAAGTAGTAAAAATTTGTTAAAACCTAAATACTAGTCAATAAGAGCAGGCTTAAATACATTATGGTATGTTCATATAAAAAATTGGACCAGCCATTGATTGCAGAGGAAGATGTGAGTGGCATAGAAATGCACTGTGCTTTTCCTTTCCCAACATAGCTAAGCATCTTCCATTACATCTGAATATTCCATCCTTAAGGTCACTCTTTTCTGTTATGGGGGCATTTCCACTGTGCGTTCACATCTGTGTGCCAACTGTCCTTTCCCTCATTACCATCCAGGGCTCTTTCTCTTGCTCCAAAAAAGTAATCACATCTGGCTTAGGAATGGTACATCCCAGTGAGATGAGGTTGCTGTAGTTCTCCAGCATCACATCCCTGTATAAGTCCTTCTGAGCAGCATCCAGGCCCTTCCACTCCTCTTGGGAGAGGTCTGTGGCCACTTCCCTAAATGCCAAGGGCACATGGGCCATGGTTTTAGAATTGCAAGAACTTGTCAGTTCTTCTTGGGCTTCCTCCACCAGAGAAGCAAAGAGTCCAGGGAAGCCAGGGCTGGAAGGTTAATTAAACGTAGAGGGGTTCCTTGGCACTTTCCTCTTCCCCCAGTTCTTGAACATTCTCCTTCAATACAGGACTTTTTTTTTTTTTTTTACCATTACGATTCTTCTTTGAATGAACAAGTCAAGGTGAGCGGCATCTGCAGACTAGCACCAACTTCTTTTCTAGCTGCGACCAACTCACCCACTTGGTTGAACCATCAAGAATACACGGAAAGGGGCTCTCGGTGTCCAAGGATCTCTGCCTATGGGTCTTCTAGGAAATGTAGAAAACAGAAACTTTAGACAAATTAAATATAACAGAGCTTAACGGAGTCCCCCAAACCAGAATAGATTCAGAGCTGCGGCGGGTAAGATTTATGGATAGAAAAAGGAAAGTGACGTACAGAAAACAGAAGTGAGGTACAGACACAGCTGGACTGGTGACAGCTGGGCGTTTGCCTTCTTTGAACAAGGTTTGAACAGTTGGCTGCCTGTCATTGGCTGAGACTTGGCTACTTGTTATTAGAGCAGGTTACAGTCTGTTTACACATCAGTTAGGTTACAGTCCACTGTGTCCAGAGAAACTGTTAGGTCAAGTTTAACTTAACTTATGTAAAAAACTTCTTCATTTTTTATCATTCTTCGTCCATTTTATAGACATATTATAATTAATTTAACTACTTCCCTATGGATACATTCAGACTGTTTCAAACCATTCGGTATTATAAACAATGTTAAACTAAACAATTTTGTACACATGTAATTTTATGCACAATAAAGTCTATCTGTGGAATACATTCCTATAAGTGGAATTGCTCAAAGGATGCGTGCATTTTGCATTTGGAAAGATGTGCTTTCCCTATAATTTATGCCAATTTGCACTCCTCCAACAATGAACAAGTGTTCATGTCCCCGTCCCCTCACCAACAAGATTTTATCAAATTTTTTTATCTGGTTTGGCCAGTTAGCCCAGTTGGTTAGAGCACAGTGTTAGAACACCAAGGCCAAGGGTTCGGATCCCCTACCAGCCAGCCAACAAAAGTAAGATTTTATTTTATTTTATTTTATTTTGTTATTTTTTTTTCCTTTTTGTCTTTTTTCTGACCGGCAACGGGATCGCAACCCTCGGTGTTGCACCCGCACTGCGCTCAGCCAGTGAGCGGGAACCGGTCTCCACATGGGATCCAAACCCTTGGCGGGAGTGCCGCCGCGCTCCCAAGCAGCGCACTCTCCAGTGCGCCACCGGGCCAGCCCAAGATTTTATTTTTTTAATCTTTACCAGTGAGCTAGGTGAAAATGTGACACATGTGGCAAAAAAATAAAAAATAAAAAATAAATTACACCATATGTATTAGCTCAGGCTGCCATAACAAAATGTCATAGACTGGGAGCCGTGCACAACAGAAATTTATTTTCTCACAGTTCTGGAAGCTGGAAGTTCGACATCAAGGTTCCAGTTGATTTGGTTTCTGGTGAGGACTCTCTTCTTGGTTTGTAGATGGATGCCTTCTCACCATGTCCTCACATGGCCTTTCCTTGGTGTGGAGGGGAGAGAGAGAGAGAGAGCACTCTGTGCCTCTTCTTATAAGAACACTGCTAATCCTATTGGATCAGGGCCCCCACCCTTATGAGCTCATTTAACCTTAATTACTCCAAATACAGCCACGCTGGGAGTTAGCTCTTTAACATATGAATTTTGGGGGGACACATACATTCAGTTTGTAACAGTATGCTCCACATCAGAGAATTCATACTGGAGAAGCATAGAAACAGTAAATGCGAGAACATTTTCAAAGGGAATTTAGAACTTATTAGGTATCGTTGAATTCATAGTGGAAAGAAACCTTGTGAATGTAAGGAGCAGGGGAAAACTTTTTAGGTGGTGATCTCCACTTGTTCAACATCAAAGGAGTCACAGAGGAGAAATGCCGTAGGAATGTAGTGTGTGTGGAAAAACCTTCTGGAGGAGCTCATACGTTGTAGAGAATTCACTTGGGAGAAAACCCTGTGAGTGAGTGAGTGTGGAAAAGCCTTCAGCTACAGGTTAGGTCCTTTGGAACATCAGAGCATTCACACAGGGAAGGAACCCTATGGACATAAGGAGTGTGGGAAACATGTAGACGCAATTCAGCCTTAGCAGTCTGCAAACTTCATGGTAGAAGAGAAACCCTTTGAATGTGATGACTGTGGGAAAACCTTTCCTCAGAGCCCACGTCTTATTCTACACCACTGAATCCACTCAGGAGAGAAACCCTATAATTTTTTTTTTTTCCTTTTTGTCTTTTTTCGTGTCCGGCAACGGATCGCAACCCTCAGTGTCGCGCCTGTACCGGACCGGGACCGGCCACGGGACCGCAACCCTCAGTGTTGCTCCCACACCTCGCTCAGCCAGTGAGCGGGAACCGGTCTGTATGTGGGATCCGAACCCTCGGCGGGAGCGCCACCGCGCTCCCAAGCGGCGCACTGTAGTAGTGCGCCACCGGGCCGGCCCGAGAAACCCTATAATTTACTGGATGTGGTGAAACCTTTCATCAGAGCAAGAATCTTATACCACATCAAAGAATTGATTCCGGAGAGAAACCCTGTGAATGTCATAAAATGTTGGAGGTCCTTCAATTATCGTTCATACCTTATTTGACTCCAGAGAATTCATGCTGGAGAGAACTGAATGTGATAAGTGTGGAAATGCTGTCTGGCTTAGGTCAGTCTTTAAGACAACAATAAAGAATTCATTTGAGTGAGAAATCCTATGACTGTAATGAAAATGGGATACCTTCAGCCATACCTCTACCTAGAATCTACTTTGCAAAAGAAAAAGGTGGTGTCAACTTGAGGAACTCAAGTGCATTTTATGGATTTGTTTCATGATGTAAATCTGCCAGCCGAGCTGTGTAGGCACCTCCTTCATTCATACATTTATTTTTTATTTGTTTTTTTATGGTGGTAAAATGCACATAATATAAAATTTGCCGTTGTAACCATTTTTAAGTGTACAGTTCTGTGGCATTAACATTCACATTGTTGTGCAACCACCACCACAGACTTTTTCATCTTCCCAAACTGAAGCTCTGCATCACTAGATACTAACTCCCCACCCCTCACCCCCAGTCCCTGGTAAGCCCCATTCTACTTTCTGTTTCTGTGAATTTGACTATTCCAAGAACCTCATATAAGAGGAATCACACTATTTATCTTTTTGTGACTGGCTTATTTGTTGGAATTTAATGAAATCCTTCTTGCTTCTCTTGCAACGTAAGCAGTTCAAATATCTTTGTCTGTAAGGATTCAAGACCCTGATATCTTTTATAGACATTTATTTTCTACTCAGAATCAGGGAAGTGCGAGGTAGCTCTGGAATTGTCCAAACTCCATAGAGGGTATTGGTGAGTTTTCTACCAAGATGTAGTTTGTAAATCTAAGATGCTGTGAGAAAAGAGCACTCAAATCTCTGAAGGATGAAGGGGCCCTGGTACAAATGAGGGAAGTGAAAGCTGACCATCAGGACCAGTGGAGTATTTTCTGGCATTTAAAATTGAGTCAAATTCCCCTTCAGGATGATGCATGTTTTTATTTTTATTTTTTAAAAGATGACCAGTAAGGGGATCTTTTTATTTTTGGCTTTTTCGTGACTGGTAAGAGGATCGCAACTCTTGGTGTGGTGTCACCCACACCACGCTCAGCCAGTGAGTGTGCCGGCCATTCCTGTATAGGATCCAAACCCGCGGCGGGAGCATCGCTGTGCTCCCAGTGCCGCACTCTCCTGAGTGCGCCACGGGCTCGGCCTGGATCTTAACCCTTGACTTGGTGTTGTCAGCACCACGCTCAGCAAGTGAGCTAACCGGCCATCCCTATATAGGGATCCGTACCCGTGGCCTTGGTGTTATCAGCACCGCACTCTCCCGGCCGGCCCAGGATGATGCATGTTAGTGAGGAGGTTGTGAGGATGCGTTGTTGCTTACCTGAGTTGATGCTTAACCCTGTTCAGGACTAGGCCTCTGTGCTGTTACCCATACCTCATCCTTCTGAACACATACAAAGCTAAACCATATGGGTTCCCATCCAGAAACTCTTTCAAGACAGAACTGGAGTGAGGTGAGCAAGGTGCCTAGGGAGCAAGACTCGAGGAGGCAGTCGCTCTCTTGCATGAGCCTGAGCATGGGGCCACCTTAAGGACTGTGCTCTTGGGCCTCACATACCTCATCCTAGGCCTGGCCCTGGACAGACGCCCTGAAGCCCGGATGACCTGCTTAGTGGGGATAAAATGGAAATGGCCTCTGGACCTTGGGAGTCCTGGAATAGCTGGAACAGACAGAAAGGGATGGAAGGAGGAAATGAGAGAAATGCTTGGGAAGAAGGTGGCCAAGGGAAAGAGATATAGGAGTGGGCTCAGTCACACAGCTACAGCTGGAAAAACTGGGCAGCTCTAAGATGCACATCTCCTATCTTCATGGGTACCAGTAACGGGTCTCCCTGTATCTATTCACTCATTCATTGAGTGCCCACGATGTCAGGCACATTGCCAGCTGTTAAAAACATGTTTTGGTTGGACTCTTTTCATGCAAGGACTGGAGGTCTTAAGAAGCTAGCTCAGGTGATGGGGTTTTATCATGTTTCCAATGGAGGGTTAACTCAGCAGGTCTGGGCTACCCAAACCCTGCACATTCCAAAGGTCTTCAAGACTAGCCCTTGATTAGTTCCTGGGAGACAAACCCTAAGCCCTTGAAATATCCTGCTTGATAAGAGTGTCTTTGTATTCCTGACAAAGGTAGTATGTGATAACCATGAGATGGAGAATAAACACAGGTTTTTGAATGACGAGGGGCTTTGGGCCAGGCTGTATGAGTTTGACTTCTGGGGGGTGTGGAGACTGAGTAGCTAATGTCAGTCATGTGCTTACTCCTTGCTTATGTGACTAACTCCCAATAAAAATCCTG